GCACCCATGATGGGTTTGGTGCTCCTCACTGAGCTCAAATCCCTAATGAGCAACTGGGTATACAGTCCTGCTGTGGACTTTATTTGTATGTCCATTCTTCTGTGGAAAAATGCAAAAATTCCTTTTTCCAGAGTTCCTACTCAAAAGCGAGGACAGGTAACGTGCTGCTTCCTCAACAAACCACCTGGCCTCGCTGCATGGGTGGCCCAGCTCTCCTGAGGCAGAACGCAGAGCTGTAACTGCCAGGCGCCAGGAGCAGCCCCATGAGAGGCTGAGCCATCCGCGCGGCAAGGATGGGCGAAAAGCCGGGATCTCAGTGGCCACTCAGTGCAAGTCGTCCCTGCAAAGGCACACAGCTGGCAGACAGGAGGGAGCAGCTGCTCCACATCTCCAGTTACAACACAAAATGAAGGTGCTCCCATTGAGTCCCGGTATTTCGAAGGCAATAAAGCCTTTTTAAAACTTCCTTAAAAAGGTGGGTTTTTTAAGAAAACATAAATCGAACATTTGTTATCCTTCAAATCACTGTTGTTCTCTTGTATAATCTCTTGGGCCAGCTTAGGAACAAGGAGATATATCTGATAAGTGAAAGAAGAGAGAAGAACAGCTTATCGCTTGGGCTTACTTTTTGGACTGGGAAATGTGAGCTCTTCATAACTGGAGTAAGAGAGTCCTCGCACTTCTCTATCGATACCTTTCTTTGCCAAGTGGACTGTGTAGTTGATACCATTGAGCATTCTAATAATGCACTCCAGATAAAAGGCTTTCAGTTGAGCTAGGAACAATCCTGAGGGATTGGTCGCTATAAAAAGGAAAACCCAAGGAGAGAAGGGCAAACAAAAATAATAAAGGAACATGAGGAAAGCAAGCAACTTTTCCCTCAATTGCAGAGACAGCTCCTTTAGAGCCACTGTAATGCCCTGTAAGCAAAGAGGTGTGTTCTGCACTATCAGTTGAACTCTTGACGATTGCAAGTGAAAAAGCTGACGTGGATTGACGTGGATGCTCCTGAGATGCATCTTCATTACATTTTGTAAGGCTCACTTTTGAGTCTTAAAAGAATGGTTACCTCAGGTTTTAAGATCCTGTCTCCTATCAGCTTTCTACACTGCAGGTACACTTCTAGCACCGATGGGAGATAATTTCCCTTTTTCTTTTTAACATACCACAGTTTTATTTTGAAATTTCAGTAAGCACTTGTGGCTGCAGGCATTACGAAGGGAATATTTAGTTAACTAACTAGCGAGGCAGATTTTGCATTGGAATCAAAGCCAAACCACACACTTACTTTAGATGTGAGAGTTACACAGAGCAACTCCATTTTCACATCTGGCCTGCTGCTGAAAATATGTCAGGTAATTTCATCCAGTTTCCTATAGCCCACTAACTTGTATTTGACCCTACAGTGTGTCTTCAAGGGCAGTATTCATCCTCGCCTTCCCTGAAATCTCCAGGAGACAGAGAGTTTATCCTTTTCTTAGGCATGTTAATAAAGATCTACTCTGAACTCCACTAATTGATTCTTCTTACGCCCTTCTCCATTAGATGAAAGATGTCTTACTCTGAACTGTTTCTTACGGTCTCAAGCTTTGCAAGAGCCTGTTCAAACCAGAGCCACACTGCTGGATCAAGAACAGTTCATTTTAGGTAGCTCGTGGCAAGCAGTATTTCAGCTCACCTTCCTCACAGGCCTCATCATAATCTTGCAGCTGTTCCACGGTTTCCAAACTTGCCACACGATCCCAAGGTCCCTGAGGACACCTTGACTTTTGAAGGGAAAAAGCTTCAGAGACAGCACACTCAGAGGCTTGGTCCACTCTCTTTAAATTAAAAAAAGGAAAATATTTCTAAAGATTTCTGGACTTTAATTTTTAAACTTCCTATATCCAAGTTTCTCCTCCAGAGAGCAAATATCAGTGGGAATATAATACAAGACAGCACAGCTGTTGTAAGGAATAGCTTTCTTTTGAAACATGTTTCTCCGACTGCTCGATTGACTGGAGAAATTCGATTTAGGAATCATTAAGTAATACGCACTCATTAGGCAATTAGTGCCAATCACAGTGATCAGAGAACAGGTAGGCAGAATGCAAACACCCGGGCCCTGGGGGCTGGATGGAGCCTTGCTGAGCTACTCCCCAGCAACCCCCACCGAGGAAAGTTGGTGTCAGCATTTCGCCATAACCGGGCTGGCTACTGTGTGAATGGTCTGAGTGATTTTCTGTCCCATGTTCATCTCTCTAAGGTGTCAATGGTCCTGGTGTGTCACTGCAATACCTGGACCCTAGACAGCCCGCGTTTCTGTGGAACTTCTTCCCTTTGTGCTCGGGCAAGCAGACCAAGCTGCTGCTGGAGGCCTAGGGGGCTGCACCAGGAGGCAGATGCACACTCCTGCTGCTGTAAGGAGCAGGCTGAGGGTGGGAGCACGGGGATGCCCAAGGAAGAAAACCACGGGGAAGTTCACCCTGGAATTAATTCTTGGTCTCAAGTGGTTGTAGATGCAGGAGGTGGTGCTTTGGGGTAAATCTCTTTTATTACTTGCTCATACATACAGCCTGCAGGACTGCTCCACAGCACCTTTTGTGTGACCCAGGAGCTTTATGCCTATAGACGAGGCACCTCACTCACCAGTGAGTTACCGTGCAAGTTACTCGATCCGGGGCACCTAGTTACCAGAGTCAAACCGGCTGGAAAGAACATTAAAAGGATAACCTTGCTGCGGCCACCTGTCTCTCTGAACCAGAG